AAAGATTAATTACAACAATTCTATATTTCCAGTTAAACTTTTGACTACTCACATAGATTAATTACAACAATTCTATATTTCCAGTTGAACTGTTGACTACTCACATAGATTAATTACAAAAATTCTATATTTCCAGTTAAACTTTTGACTACTCACACAGATTAATTATAACTATTCTATATTTCCAGTTGACCTGTTGACTACTCACATAGATTAATTACAACTATTCTATATTTGCAGTTGAACTGTTGACTACTCACATAGATTAATTATAACTATTCTATATTTCCAGTTGAACTGTTGACAACTCACATAGATTAATTACAACAATTCTATATTTCCAGTTAAACTTTTGACTACTCACATAGATTAATTGTAACTATTCTGTCTTTCCAGTTAAACTGTTGACTACTTACATAGATTAAATATAGCACTTCTATCTTTCCAGTTAAAGTCTTATATAGATTAATTATAGCAGTTTTATCTTTCCAGTTGAACTGTTGACTACTTACATAGATTAAATATAGCACTTCTATCTTTCCAGTTAAAGTCTTATATAGATTAATTATAGCAGTTTTATCTTTCCAGTTAAACTTTTGACTACTTACATAGATTAAATATAGCAGTTCTATCTTTCCAGTTAAAGTCTTATATAGATTAATTATAGCAGTTTTATCTTTCCAGTTAAACTTTTGACTACTTACATAGATTAATTATAGCAGTTCTATCTTTCCAGTTAAAGTCTTATATAGATTAATTATAGCAGTTTTATCTTTCCAGTTAAACTTTTGACTACTTACATAGATTAAATATAGCAGTTCTATATTTCCAGTTAAACTGTTAATCTTCTGAATAGGTTAATTATTGTCCCATTGAGTACATATATCAACGACCTGTAAATAGTAATTTAAAGTTTAAACATAATTTACTTTTTTCTCTTAATCGTCCAGTATTCTTGTTCATAGAAGAAAGATATATCTAAAAATTCACAAAGACGTTTTTTTCTGATTCATAGGAAAAAGTTCTAAATTAATAGCTCGATTTATTTTCACTCGCCGGCGAGGATATTTTATTCTCCAGATCTATGCACCCTGCGCCATGATTGTTGGAGCTTCGTGGGTATCTTTCTGGATCAACCGGCATGATACTCCTGGACGAGTGGCCGTAGGTAATAAGAGAAAAAAAAACACATTTCAAAGCATTATAAAAAAAAAGATAACTAAAAACCTGTTAATATAATTATCAAAATATTAATTTAAAGTCTCATTCCAAAATTATCTGTTCAAATATCTTGGTCTAATTAAAACGTAGAACAGAAGAATAAACTTTATATTAACTTCCACGTATTCTGGTATTACTTCACTGTGTATCATTAGCTTGATTGAATAACCAAATAGTTGGGTACAGTTTGTATTAACTTCCACGTATTCTGGTATTACTTCACTGTGTATCATTAGCTTGATTGAATAACCAAATAGTTGGGTACAGTTTGTATTAATTTCCACGTATTCTGGTAGTACTTCACTGTATTTCATTATCTTGATTAAAACACCAGACAGTGAACTGCAGAGTATATTAATTTCCACGTATTTCGGTAGGACTTCACTATGTTTCATTAGCATGATTATTAAATCAAACAGTGTACTACAGTTTGTATTAACTACAACATATTCAAGAAATATTTCACAGTGTTTCATTAGCTTGATTAAAACACCAGACAGTGAACTGCAGAGTATATTAATTTCCACGTATTTCGGTAGGACTTCACTATGTTTCATTAGCATGGTTATTAAATCAAACAGTGTACTACAGTTTATATTAACTACAACATATATAGGAAATATTTCACAGTGTTTCATTAGCTTGATTAAAACTTCAGACAGTTAACTACAGTTTGTATTAACTATCACGTATCCTAGTAGTTTTCAGTGTGTTTCATTAGTTTGATTAAAATTTCGGACAGTTGACTATAACTACAGTTTGTATTAACTTCCATGTATTTCGGTATTAACTCACTGTATTTTATTAGCTTCATTCAAACACCAAACAGAAGACTACAGTTTGTATTAACATCCACGTATTCTAGTAGTACTTCACAGTGTTTCACTGTACTACAGTTTGTATTAACTTCCACGTTTATCGTTAGTACTTCACTGTGTTTGATTAGATGATTAACACACCAGACAGTGGACTACACTTTGTATTAACTTCCACATATCCCGTTATTGATTTACTGTGTTTCATTAATTTGATTAAAACTTCACACAGTGGACTACAGTTTCTATTAACTTCCACGTGTTCTAATAGTACTTGACAGTGTTTCATTAGCTTGATTAAAAGTTCGGACAGTTGACTACAGTTTGTATTAACTTCCATGTATTTCGGTAGTAATTCAATGTGTTTTATTAGCTTCATTAAATCACCAGACAGTGGACTACAGTTTTCATTAACATCTAATTATTCTGATAGTACTTCACAGTGCTTCATGAGCTTGAATAAAACTTTGTACACTTGCCTAAAGTTCGTATTAACTTCAACATTTATCGGTAGTGCTTCTCTGTGTCTTAGTAGCTTCATTAACACACCAGACAGTGGATTACAGTTTGTATTTACTTTCGCGATTTTGAGTAGTACTTCACTGTGTTGTATTAGATGATTAACATACCAGACAGTGGACTACAGTTTGTAATAATTTCAACGTTTTTTTGGTAGAACTTCACTATGTTTTATTAGATTCACTAAAACACCAACCAGTGGACTACAGTTTGTATTAAGTTTCACATATTTCGGTAAGACTTCACTGTGTTTTATTAGCTTCATTAAAACACCAGACAGTTGACTACAGTTTCTATTAACATCCACGTATTCTGGTAGTACTTCACGGTGTTTCCTTAGCTTGATTAAAACTATGGACAGTTGACTACAGTTTGTATTAACTTGCATATTTTTCGGTAGTATTCACTGTGTTTTATTAGATGATTAGCACACCAGACAGTGGACTACAGTTTGTATTAATTTCCGCTTATTCTGGTAGTTCGTTCTTTGTGTTTTCATAGCTTGATTAAAACACCAAACAGTGGACTACAGTTTGTATTAACTTCCACGTATTCTGGTAGTACTTCACTGTATTTCATTATCTTGATTAAAACACCAGACAGTGAACTGCAGAGTATATTAATTTCCACGTATTTCGATAGGACTTCACTATGTTTCATTAGCATGATTATTAAATCAAACAGTGTACTACAGTTTGTATTAACTACAACATATTCAGGAAATATTTCACAGTGTTTCATTAGCTTGATTAAAACTTCAGACAGTGGACTACAGTTTGTATTAACTTCCACGTATTCTGGTAGTACTTTACTCTGTTTCATTAGCTCGATTAACACACCAGATAGTGGAATGCAGTTTATATTAACTTCCACGTATTCTGGTAGTACTTCACAATGTTTATTTAGCTTGATTAAAACTATGGACAGTTGACTACAGTTTGTATTAACTTGCATATTTTTCGGTAGTATTCACTGTGTTTTAGTAGATGATTAACACTCCAGAAAGTGGACTACAGTTTGTATTAAATTCCACGTATTCTTGTAGTACTTCACTGTATTTCATTAGCTCGACTAACACACCAGATAAAGGAATGCAGTTTATATTAACTTCCACGTATTCTGGTAGTACTTAAATGTGTTTCATTAGTTTCATTAAAACTTCAGACAGTGGACTACAGTTTGTATTAACGTCCACGTATTCTGGTAGTACTTTACTCTGTTTCATTAGCTTGAGTAAACCAAGCACAGTGGACTACATTTTTTATTCACTTCCACGTATTGTTGTCGTAATTCACAGTGTTTCATTAGCTGTCTGAAGTTTTAATCAAGTTAATGAAACACTGTGAAATATTTCCTGAATATGTTGTAGTTAATACAAACTGTAGTACACTGTTTGATTTAATAATCATGCTAATGAAACATAGTGAAGTCCTATCGAAATACGCGGAAATTAATATACTCTGCAGTTCACTGTCTGGTGTTTTAATCAAGCCACTGTCTGGTGTGTTAACCAAGCTAATGAAATACAGTGAATTACGACAACAATACGTGGAAGTCAATAAAAAATGTAGTCCACTGTGCTGTGGTTTACTCAAGCTAATGAAACAGAGTAAAGTACTACCAGAATACGTGGAAGTTAATACAAACTGTAGTCCACTGTCTGGTGTTTTAGTGAAGCTAATAAAACACAGTGGAATATTATCAGAATACGTGGAAGTTAATACAAACTGTAGTCCACTGTCTGGTGTTTTAGTGAAGCTAATAAAACACCGTGGAATATTATCAGAATACGTGGAAGTTAATACAAAGTGTAGTCCACTGTCTGGTGTGTTAATCATCTAATCAAACACAGTGAGGTATTGCCGATAAACGTGGAAGTTAATACAAACGGTAGTCAACTAATTAATCAAGCAAATGAAACACTATGAAGTACTACCAGAATACGTGGTAGTTAATACAAACTGTAGTTAAAATGCAGTTTATATTAACTTCCACATATTTCAGTAGGACTTCACTGTTTTTCGGCAACCTAGAATCTGGGTTTCGATACTAAGTGGTGAGAAGAGCACAGATAGCCCATTGTGTAGCTTTGTGCTTAATTACAAACAAACAAACAAAAATATTAGCTTGATCAAAACATCAGAGAGTGGACTACAGTTTGTATTAACTTCGACGTATTCTCGTAGTACTTTACTTTATTTTATTAGTTTGATTAAAATTTTGGACAGTGAACTACATTTTGTATTAACTTCCACGTATTCTTGTAGTATTTTACAGTGTGTTATTAGCTTCATTAAAACACAAGACAGTGACTACAATTTGTATTGACTATCACGTATTTTAGTTGAACTTGACAGTTTTTTGTGAGCTTTATTAAAACACCAAACATTAGACTACAGTTTGTATTAACATCCACGTATTTTGTTGTTACTTCATAGCGTTCATCAGCTAGATTAAAACTTCGGACAGTTGACAACAGTTTTTATTAATTTCCACATATTTCTGTAGTACTTCACTGTATTTTATTAGACGATAAATACAGCATACCGTGAACTACAGTTTGTATTAATATCAGCATATTCTGGTAGTAAATCACTGTGTTTTATTAGCTTAATAAAAAAAATGTGAACAGTTGACAACAGTTTGCATTAACTTCCACATATTTCGCTAGTACTTAACTGTGGTTCATTGGCTTCACTAAAACACCATACAGAGAACTAGGGTTTGTATTAACTTGAATGTTTTTCGGTAGAAGAAGAGCACAGATAGCTCATTTGGTAGCTTTGTGCTTAATTACAAACAAAAATATTAGCTTGATCAAAACACCAGACAGTGTACTACAGTTTGTATTAACTTCCACGTATTCTGGTAGTACTTCACTGTCTTTTATTAGTTTCATTAAAACTTTGGATAATGGACTACAGTTTGTATTATCTTCCACGTATTCTGGTAGTTCTTCCCTGTGTTTCATTAGTTTGCTTAAAATTCGGATAGTGGCCAGCAGTTTCAATTAACTTCCAAGTATTCTGGTATAATTCGCTGTGATTTAGTAGCTTGATTAAAACACTAGACAGTGGACTACAGTTTCCATTAACTTCCACTTATTTCGGTAAAACTTCACTGTGTTTCATTAGATGATTAGTATTATTTTCAGCAAATTATTCAGTAAGTAGAATTGTATGTTTGAATATTTTGTAAGAGGTGTTTAGATTCAGATGTAGTGCCTGTAAGTAGAGTTTTAAAAGGTTCTGGAGGTTTCGAAAGCGCATGTAATTGAACTTTTCCATTGGTACAACACATTCCTGGTGATTCTTTATCCCAGTTTTTAGCACCACATTTATCACATATTTTAGACATTGATCCAATAGTAACCACTTTGTCAGATGCCTAATTATATTGTGGATTATAGTTAAAAGCACTTAAATTCCACTGCCAAGCATAGCAGGCTCGAGATCGTGTTTGAGCTTGTCTTGTTCTTTGAGCCGAAGTCGTACATCATGTTGTTCCTCTATTACTTGCTCTCTGTAAGTTATTTGTCTTAATTTTTGTGCTTGAAGTTTGATTGGACGTTGTTCAGAAGTTTCTTGTTGTCTATATCCAGCTTTCCTTGATGATTATGACTGAACTCTGGCTTTGTGCTGTTCAATAGTTTCTTGCTGTCTTTGAGTAGCCTGCCTTTCAGCTTGAGCTCGAAGTCTAACTTTACGTTGTTCCAAAGTCTCTTCCTGTATTTGAGCAGCCTGTCTTGCAGCTTGTGCTTGAAGTCTTTGATTGCGTTCTTCTTCTGTTTCAGATCGGACTTACAACGCTAGAATCCGGATTTCGATACCCGTGGTGGGCAGAGCACAGATAGCCCATTGTGTAGCTTTGTGCTTAATTACAAATAAACTGTTTCAGATGCTCTTTGTGTTTGCATTCTTTTAGCGGCAGAAGACTTTACATAGAAAGGGCGTTTCTTGGGTGGCATAATCACCTGTATCACTAAACAATAATTTGCAATGCACAAAGTTACTAAATCACTTATGAAACCACTTAGCACTATTG